TYTWTTTWSTTAMTTAMAGCACCAATAGTTGGATATACTTACATCCCTTCTAAGGTGGTTTAGTGTTGTGTTGAATTTTTCCATCTCAGATTCTGTCAAGTTCAGCTGAAACAATTAAATCCTCTAATCACCCAAATGTCTTTCAATCATTAAACACCTACCATTATCAAGTACACCAACAAAATATGTGATGGCACTGGATGTTGTTGGATGGGGTATCGAAAATGTTGGATGGACCACATACAATAAGTACAATAAACATTTGATCAAACATTATTGAATTTCTGTTCTTGTTACCTCGATTGTTTGATACCAACAAAGCCAGAAAGTTTCAGTTAATAAGACATTTCTTTGCATCAATATATATAAACAATATTCACTTACAATARTGGGACCTACCTTGGCTAAAAGTCTATTCGTATCAATTTGTGAAATAATTATTTTTCTTAGTTCTTGAGCTTTGGTTGGGGTTATTGCACATGGTAAATTCTTGGCATTTTTCTATTATAAAGCAAACAATATGTGGTCAATTTAGTAGCAAAAAATCAATAATCTTGAAAAATATTTAAATAATAAAAGCTAACTAAAATAAATAAAATGAAGTAGCTTGGCACCTTCACTTGCAGGTCAAGTTCTGAATTAAGAGGGAGTTAAGGGAATTAAGAGGATCAAGTCTCATATCAAGTCTTCCTACCTTATTACTAGCTAGTGGTACAAAAATTACTTTTCTTAAATCATCTACTGTACATGTCTGTTGTGTAAAATTATTTTGTGTCTTCTGAAAGAAAAAGAAGTCAATTCGATACACATTTGATACACATTCGATTCACTTGATACATATTCGATCCACACGCTAAACATATTGTTTTTAATGTAATCATATCGCTTTTGATAGTACAAGAGATAATGTGACTTAAATCTGCCTCRTAATGGGCTACAAATATTTGGACATTCTTAGGGATAGGGGAGAGAAGGAATGAAAAGTGTCCGGGGTGGGATAAGGAATGGATTCTATGATGTACCTGTGTATTACTGGACTCTGTGGTCTTTGTCAATGGAGATGTGTATAGAGAAGAGTTGAACAATCTCTGCATTCCTGCCATTATAGTTAGYGCCGATAAGATGCCTGTGTCACTTGATATATGTCTCCAGTAATGGTGCTTAAATGGCAGGTTGCCTGGAATACCTGAAGGAGTACCAGGTAACAAAAGGTGCTGGATCTGTCAATCAATAAAATAGTAAATCATCATCATCCTAATAATATAGTAATCATCAAGAATAAAACTGATTTACAAAAATTGATTAATAAAGTATTATTAATGATTATATTATAATAATGATGACAATGATGATGATTACGATGATGATGACAATGATGATGATTATGATGACGATGATGATAGTTGTGGTTAATTATGTTAACTATACCTCTTTTCTATTGATGGTACTGTTCATCAGCTCATTGGTTATTGTGTGCGATATAGAAAAGTTGGATAACATGTCTTTGAGCTTTGTGGGATCAATAATGATATCTTGTAGTGTGAAATCTAGTGTAGAAACACAAGAGAGTGTGAATCAGAAAGATAGCAAAATACAGCAAGTTTAATTATGCAAAAAATATATATATTAAAAGGAAAAAGTGGGAAAAGAAAAGAACGGAAAAAAAAGAAATACGAATGCAATATTTCACTACTTAGTGAAATATTGCATTTGTATTTCTTTCTTAAGGGTAAATTATTGACTAGAAAAACAGGAAAACAAATGTCTACAACAACAAATTCCTATCAACTAGACCAAGCACAGCACCATACTTTGGATAYGTGTAGATTTGCCATCAAGGTAGTGATATTCATCTTTCAGGTCTTCATAGTCCTGCGGTACAGTCTTGATGTTATCAATAACAGACAGCGATGGAGACAGCATTATGTCTGATATATCAGCTAATATGGCACCAATACTACCCAAACAAACAAGAAACAATTATATTACAAACTGAATTAAATGACTAGTTACAACAAGCTTCACTAAAACAAAATGTAGATTAATTGAACAACGTTTWTATCTGTCAGTATACATGTATATTTAATCCATTTTTCAAGTTTTTCTTTTCATTATTTCTCATGTTTTGTTTAATTGGCCACAGGCTATTATATTATCTGCTGGAAACCAATCATTTATGGCCCTTTCCAGACAGGAGACTGAAAACATTCTCTAATAATGTGTATACACCTSTTAACAGTCCAAACATCCATCAAAATAATCATTAAATGTCTGTGCTTTAGGCATAGTATTATCATTTCGCTTTGAATAAAAAAGTAAGTCATGTAATATGGAAAATTTGCATCTCAGACAAGAGTTCATCTCAAAAGTAWATAAATTAAAAAGAAACACACGTATTTAATGTCTTATTTACTACAACATTTCTAATCAAACAATGGAATTTATTTTGCAATAAAGTTAAGAAGAGGGTTTAAATAGCCTGTGTACATCCGTTTCTCACCCCTCAAAAAATCRGGGAGAGAACGTCTGTGGTTCTCTCCCCGATTTTTTGAGGGGTGAGAAACGGATGTACACAGGCTAGGTTTAAACTATAGTTACAATAATATCATTTTGATTTTTTGCATTTAAAAATTATTCAGCAAGATAAATATTTCAAACAATAATTCATGGCACCAGCASAGGTTTTACCCTTATCAGTACAATATCAATTTATCTTGAAGGTGCCTTTGTGGGTGGCTTAACACCATCAAAAATAAATAAGTATCAATTCRCTTTAACTTGTTTCAGCTGGAAATGAGACATTGGTTTCTAAATAAAAGAGGTTTATTACATCTCTATGATTTTTTATATTCTGGTTATAAAACTGGCACATGTTAATATCATATGCCTTGCAATATTGTAATTATTAAACCACAAACTTACACCATATATCGCAAGATCAAGGAATAAGTAGAAAATGTACAAGAAATGATTATCGGAAGTCACTTTATAGGGGATAATTTTACAGAAGACAGCACAGCAGTCAAGCATACAGAAAAGGAAATAACATTGACAAGATGAAAACTTTCCCTTCTGCTTTCTACATTGGTTGTCTCATTTTCCATGATATCTACCTTATACTTTTACTTTTATTTGTAAGAATTAGGCCTTATCCTAAATTTTTGTATTAAGTTAGCAAAGGCTGAAAAGGAAACAAAACACTTCATTGTTTTTTCGTTTTTTACGAAAATAAAAAGGGCCAATACTCAAGTATCTCTTTGTGCTGCTCATGTTTTTTTATTTTTCAACATCTTTTCCAAGGAGCATAGCAAACATCACACTCACATCTGCTTGCTTAACACACCTTGAATTCACATGAATTGGGAATCCATGTTCGTCAGTGATTTTATTCGGACAGAACTGCTGCAACAGTGGGATAATCCCTGAAGATGGTAAAGCTCGTACTGGGAAAATTTCTGGGAAATAAAAGAAGGAATATTAAAATATGCTAGAAACTTTCATTTTGTGAAAACAGATGTTGATTATTTTAATCGTCAGCAATTGTTTCACATTTTAAGAGGGAAAGTTGAAAATTGATAATGATTTAAACCGCAATTTGCGTGACTTTCGGATAATGTTTATGATTTATTGAAACTAATTTATTCATAATGCATWGTGTAGTATATTTTCAATGCTCAATTCCTTGCCGTGACCGACAGACTATCCCCTAAAATATTTTCAAGCATTCATGGATACTGTAGCAAACTTTCGTCTCGCCTAGCTGGATAAAAGGTCAAAAGGCTTATGAAAAGGCAACATCGACGTGGCATATTATGCAATTTTCTTGACAAGAAAGTCAAAAACACTTATAAAACATTTAGGCTTGAATATTAAAAATTCAGATATTACAATCGCAAAGATTAATCCAGCCAAACAAGTGCGACCTTCGCACCTACCGAAAATAAAAGCTTAAAATCTTATAAATGAAAGTTGCTAACCTTTTTCAAGTTAAAAAAAATAAACAAGAATTAAGCTKATATTATTAACAAGTCAGAGAAATATACACTAACCTTCGTGCCTTGGTCGCGGCTCTCTACGCAATCTTATACCCATTAGAATGAAAAAAAGTACCAGTGGAATAAGAACCTCAAACACGACAGCTAACTACGAGAGAGARAAAATTAAGGCTTAAGTTAACTAAGCTTTTAAGTTATGAAGCAACTTAATATTTTCATAACTGTCAAAAAAATAATTCAAACACCAGTTATAAAAAGTAAAATTCATACTCACCGGTGCTCTCTTTTTGAGAGTAAAGTTCTTCCATAGCAAAAGCCGTAGCTGACGACCAAATCCCATACTGCTAAAGGTCTGTAAAGATGAAAATCGTTCTGGCTTCTCACCTCACGGCACAGCCAAAACAAAGCTTTTGTCCTTAAATTCTACGCATTGTTAGCATTCGGGCTTGTTTTATCAGAGAAAAATAGTCTTTGAGATGAGCATGCTGCGGTATCTAAGAGAATTTGACGCGATAGTGAACCAACAAGACCCACAATAATGAAAACATTACATACAGTAGCGAGAAAAAAAATATTTTTAATCTATCACGTGACAATTCACAGAAATTAGCATTCCGAAAACGTGTAAGAGTATTCGGCAAGTTCTCGGTAAATAACATTCTTAAAGACAATTACCGACAATGACTCGATTAGTGTTCGAAATGTTCCGAAGATATCCCGAACATTGACTTAAACAACATGGCTGCTTCTYTGCAGTGGGGAAGTTCTTACTTTCATCATTTACAGCTGAGAGATTTGCACGATTATCTTTGCAGTTTACCAACCAATACTTTAGATAGACTTTATAATCATCCAGCTACTTGTCTTACAGTTTTTAGGTAAGTTAAGATCGAAATAAGATTTTTTTTACCAGAGAATTGTTGAAGTGGCTAG